GGCATGGCATTAATATCGAAGAAATCGTGTTCCGACCACATTATCGTAACGTTACGTTTTGCTCGACGTATATTCATTAAACCCTACGCACATATACATATATTAAGGGCTAAATATGTAATTAATGAACGTTTGGCGATATTTTGACTACAATAAGGAGTAAGGACTATACATTCTCGTTTAAAATATTGCGTTATAATGAAATTTCTAACGGAGGCGGCAAGTATTTCGCCAGTAAATGGCCAAAAGATAAAACATTAGTAATAATACCTAATCATTCCTTTCGAACCATCCACATAATTTTATTTGGAGCACGGTATAATATTATATTAAAGAGTATTATTATTATTTTGTTATGGCGGGATGCGTACGGTAAAAAAGTGGCGTGGAAAGTATATGTAAATTTTCTTGCACGGTAAATCGTTCGAATTGTTGGCATAAGTGATTTTTTTTTCTTTTATACATTTTACCGAGGTTGACTCTTTTTTTTATTTGATCACAAAGCTCTCTCTATATATATAGGTGGTGTCACATATTATACATTTAGGGATGCCGACGTTATTATTATTATTATTATTATTATCATTTTTTTTTATGTACCTGCCTTACATAAAAACGGACTGTATACCGTGAAGGATAATGCGTATAGAAATATAATACACTACACGTCTACACATATTATATTATGTTATACATATGCGCCTCCGGTAGATTACCACCGCCGTCACCTTCACTATAGTGCTGCTACTATATATACAATGCCTAATACTACTACTACTTATGCGTGTAACAGCGACTTATTTTATCGACATAAATAATTATTAAAAACGTTCTCTCTGCGTATAATATAATATGCACCTATACAATATACGAGCTCGGGCAGATCGATTTTCTTCGGTAATGAGATGCTTTGTAGGGGTTTTTCTTTATCGCGCCGCCGTATATACGGACGGACGGGGTGGCGCGAGTGCACCACGGCGAGCTGTCGTATACATTGTTAAAAATGCTAATGGCACATTTAGCCTTTGGCGACCTTTTCGTGTTGACATTTTTATTGCACGTCCGGGTTGTGCTTGGAAAAAAAAAACAAAAAAAAAAAACAAAAAAGAGGATTGGTGCGAGGTTAAAGTATACGATAAACGGGTAAACGACAAACGTTTATTTCGCTTCTTCTGTTTCCGCGTCATCGCCGGTGACCGGTGCTCCGGATAAGAGGGGATTTTCGACGGTGGGCCTCCTCCCCGCGAAAAGGAAACGCGAAATTATTATCGAAACGGAAACTGCTTGGCGCGTGCTAGGAAACCAATGACCCTGAGGTATAATCCGGTGCGCACACGCTCACACACACACACACGCATACACGCACATATAATAATATATTATATGATATTATATATACGACGACAAACGGCAGAGGCGGTGGCGGGTAGTAAAGTCGTAACAGATGTCCTACTCCACCCTCCCCCCCACCCCCTTGGTCCGCCACGCAGCCTCCGCCGCGACTGTACGACGTCGCGGCACACCGGGAATAATATTTCAGTTTCCTGCGGTAACGTCACGTATCGTTAAGCAAACGCGCGAGACTGCAGCGTTCGTATCCGTGCGATCCAATAGGGAATTCAGATTATTGAAATTTTCGCTTTGGACGAAATAAAAATGAAAGACAAGAGAACAAACACGAGCGCGCGCATAAAATGGATTTTTCTGAAATTACGTTCAGCCGTTTTGGTGGGGTTGGTGAGGGGTGGTGGCGAGGAACAGCATCACATTCTCCGTGTATAATATATAATATTATAATATATTATAAACGATAATGATAATAATACTATTGTTATGATACGATATTATAGTCACGCTGATGACGTAGAAAACAGAAATCGTATAAGAAATATATTGAACCCGCCCTGCACGTGCTATATGTCGAATAATCGAATTATACGGCGACGACTTACGACAACCCGTATTGCATATTATTATATTATTCGCTGACGACGATAATCGTTCGACACGAAACGGATTTTAAAAATGTTCGTTAAACGGGTTGTAATGAATTACTTCCATTATATTCCATTCATGAATTATGTTCGAAAAATAGAAAAATGAAGGCGTAACTGCTATTAATCATATCGGCGATACGAAATGCATAGGTACACGTACTATTATTGTTATACGCATATTATTATTAATTTATTTAATTTTATGAGCTACGACGTGATATGTACATGACGTTCATCGCGCGGAAAAAATGACAAATAAATTAATAAATCAAACTGAATATTTTATTCATAGCGTGTAGTGCAATTTCCAAAGAAAATAAATGTTAAAAACGAGAATTAATGTGGTAACAAACAAAAAAAAATGTATTTTATTCGATGGCAGAGCGCACGCATTTTTATTACATACGCCGACAACACTTTAGAGTAATATAAAATTATGTGCGAGGTGTATGTGTGACTTTTACTAATATTTAGGCAATATATAATAATATAACTTAGTAATTGTGTTTTTTTGACGCGGCCATAAAGCTTATAAATACAAACAGGAAACTCGACAATGTAATATGTTACCTAACCTTACTTTTGACCTTATATAGTTTTGTATTTAAAAATTAAAAAAGACGTCTCATTAAGTATTATTTAATATTCTAGACCTGTTGAGCGGCATTTCATGAGGTGAAAAAAAATATAGTAATATATACTTATATTCCTACGACACCGACTCTTGCAGTATACACTTTACGTTATATGTATATATATATACACACACACACCTGCCACTTGAAAAAAATGGCCGGTCAATGGCGTTCGGGGGTGAAAAATAGGAGCAACGCGTGTGAGAATGACAAATGAAACTTACATGGCACCGACGTATAATGTGTCACGATTTTCATCCAAGTGAAAAGTCCTGTAGTACATTCGGCCGCAGGACAACTCTCGCACGTGATCTGTAACAGACAAACAAACGACCGTAAATTTATGCCCACACTGATGAGGAGATTAAGGCACGTTCTTCTCCGAGGTGCCCAGGAGAGATATATATATAGGTAGGTACAACAATACAATTACATTAGGTATTGCGTTTCTAAATGTTAAACAACCAACACATACATTATAGTGTTAAAACCGAAATAATTTGTTGTGTTATGCAAATTGTAGATCAACGTTGGTTTTAATTTATTTATCTTTCAATTGTATCGTTCGTTAAAATTAAAAGCGTCGACAAAAATGTTTTTGCATAAAGAAGTATTAATTGTTTCATTAAATTTGAGAACCATCAACAACGCGTTAATAAATCGTCATCCACTATGCAGGGCTGATCTCAACAATTCTCAATTAAAAAACTAAAAACTATCACAGTGTCAGAGACACCTAACCGTTGTGTCATACAAAATGTATGAATAATGTCTGAATACTACACTATAGGTAGCTGGTACCAGTAACGTTACTCTAGACACCTACCTACAAATAATGTAAATATTATACTTGTGTTCAATAATAAATTGCTTCATAACAACCATCATAATATTGAGTTTCGGTGTTTAGAAATTGATATATTATTATGTTTAATTTCAATTGTTGCTTTTATGGAAACTGCAGTAAATGTTATCAACAAAAACGTTCGTCGACTATCATTTTCCAAAACTCTTTCCTCTCGCCTATTGCACTTTTTCGGTACACGAAACCATCGGCTGGCGTAAACAATCGTATCGAAGTCGGATATTTCGGCGAAACGTCGGAAACATCTTCCAATTGAATGAAACGCACGTTTTCAAAGGGTTATGGCAATAACGTTGCATGGTAGGCCATCGGAGAGATTTTTTGTTTGTTTTCTCAGGTTACACGCGGTGTAAGTTATTAGCGGCTGCGTGTTCAGACCCCGGCCGGAAACAAACTTTGGTCGTGCGAAGCGCAACGGCCCGAACTCGAACGATAAAAACTTGGTCCCACTCCACCGAAAGTTTAAAATTTACTGTACTCGTACACACACTATAAATGTACAGCGTGTATACGTATAATGGTGCGTGTACACGGTGCGAGCCTGCAGTGATCATTAGTTTGAATAAACGAGATAAAAACGTTTCGTCGGACTATATAGGTAGGTACACGATCGAAAAGAACGAAAAAATTAAACTCACACACGCACGAATTTTCACGGTTTAAATTGGTTTCGTCGATTAATTTATGATTGAGAAGGTTCCCGAGAAGTTCTCCCTTTCTCGTGTTAAATTAGTGCCGAACACGTCTGAATATATTAAAGAAGGTTAGGCCGTGCGGAGGAGGGTACGTAACGGTCCCCGGGGCGCAGTAACGCCTTCAATTATTATTATTATTATATGTGCACGGGGCCTGCCTAACTCCGGCGCAAGACGTCCCAAACGTATGTCGCAAAAATACAAAGAGAAGGAAACAAAAAAAAAAAAAATAACAAACAATAACGATTTATCATACGCGAGTGTGCACCTCGTTATTATTATAGTGTGCTTGGCAACACCCGGTAATATCGAGAGGGTAATCATATAATATATTTCCGGTGCGGTTTTAGCCGTCTGTTTAAGCGGTATAATATTTTATTTTCAATTTCGCGGAATATTGAATAAGTTTTATGACTAGCCCGGGTATACGCGCAAGTACAATAATATACGATATAATAATAATATTGTATACAATAATATTACGATACACGTATTATAGTTGAACGTTAACAAACTATACTTTGGGTCGAAAATATTATTCTCGAAACGGTGTACTCGCAGTGCGGTCGGGTTTGGACTATACCGTTGGGTGTAGACTATACCGTAATTATTGAACAAATGTTTCACGGCGATTAAAATGCCGTTAGAGCTATATAATATTATTTTGCTACCGAAATAATTCTGGGCTATACCTATAATAGGCTTACCAGCACGTCCTACGAATTATTATAGGTGTAGGTAATAACAATTATAATATTATTCTAATAATAAAAAAAAAAATTCTAATAGTAGACAAACATGGAAAAAAATGCAGGGAACCATCAATTTACACTGCACACCTATTGAAGAAGTCAAATCATTTTGCTACTTAGGTAACCATAATATAACGCAAGATAATAAATACCCTACAGAAATAAAGAGAAGAATAGCTTTGGCGAAGCAAGCTTTCACTAAGAAACAAAATCTTTTAACAAGCAGACACTTATCAATAAAAATTAGAAAGCTTTTTATTAAAATGTATGTTTGGAGTGTAGCGTCATACGATAGTGAGACATGGACTTTAAGCACTCTAGATAAAAGAAGAATGGAAGCATTAGAGATGTGGACATGGAGGAAAATGATGAAGATTAGCTGGAGAGAAAGGAAATCGAACATAGAAGTGTTAAATATGATAGAAGAACCAAGAAAAATTATCAAAATGATGGAAATAAGAAAAGCCAAGTATTTCGGACACATTATGAGACATAACACGTAAATTTCAAATATTATGGAAGGGAAGATAAATGGGAAAAGAGAGAAACAAATCTTGGAAATATGAAGAAGTTATTATCGCAATTGAGCTACATAGAAATGAAGAGACTAGCGGACAAAAGAGAGGATTGGTTGAAGCTACAAGGCAATATTGCCTTTAAATTAAAAAAAAAAATAAATATTATTCAACAAACGCCACATTATCGTAGCTATATATGCAACAATTATTGTTTATTTATTTATCAGACGAATACAATGACCTAGGTGGCTATAGAAACACTACGTGGCGACTAGTATTGGCATATGCATTTTATCATATAATCAAAGGCCGAACCAAACATTCCTGTCGTTTAGAATGTTTTTTATAAAATAATTATTTTAATTTCAAACGTAGATACATTGTTTTAATAGAATAATGTTAAAGCAGGAAAACAAGACGTGCATACTCGTTATACGAACATAAAATACAACAAACTAAAAAATATACAATTTATAAGGGCGACAACGTTTGGTGCTGCCGCTGAGATAAAAAATATCACACGCAGATACCCGATATTATAATTTCCTACGATGGCATCGCGTTGTACCAGCTGCTGTTGGTCGCTATACAAACATGTATTACGAGTGTAAAGGAATTGTTTGAATTGAATATATGTTTAGTGAACAAGTTATAATATAGTATAGTAGTTGTAGTCTTAGGAAAATCCAGCAGTGTTTGCTAGATACTTGAGCACATAAATTAAGTATTTATTTTTATTAAAGGAAGTGCGTAGTGTATTTTAAAGTCAGTCTTGTAAAATGTGAATTTATATTCTTAAATAATTCTCTTGAAAAATGGTTCCGTTCTAAAAGTTGTTCGGTAAACTTTTCGAACAAAAATCCATCAAATTCTATGCGTCAGAAACATTTCTAATTACACGGTTGGGAAGGACCGAGTTCCGTCCTTCGTTTGTACATCACTCACATCAAACACAAATTTAAAACGTAAATAGTTGAACAACTAAAATAGAAGGATGTTAAATGGTTATTAAATAAAACAACAACAACAACGACATCGAAAAAAAAACCAATAAATAAACACAAAGACGCGGATATATAGTCACAACAATGTTTTCGTGCAAAAATATTTTCGATCGAAGTTCGAGTAAAAAAGATTGTAGGTAACTAAATCACGATTCTCGACTTGAGCAACAGTCGTCGAATAAAACAATAATAATAATAATAATAATAATATGTCCATCGTTTTATGAAGTATTATATAATATATTCATATATATAGTTGGCAACAGAACTGCTGTTATCTGCGGTATAATAATATAATAATATCATAGGGTACCTGCCCGCTTGGAATAGTCGTAGTGCTCAAATCACAAACAATATTATTATATTATGCACTCAGATTCGATAATAATTAAATACAGCGCTATTTCACCAGAACCAGGAGAGACGCATTATTGTCATGCATTACAATATTATCGACGCGGTGTACCTACTCTCCTCTTATTCCTCGCTACTTATATAATAATATACTGACATAGCCGTAAGACCCGCGTGCGAGCGACGTAGGTACGCGTAAAGTCATTCACAAAAGGGATTCCGACGGAAACGTGTCAAGGGAGCTCAATATTTAGCATCTCATCTTATTTACATCCAAGAAAGTGTGCCTCTTTTCGTATTCGGCCGCCCTGCAACCCGCCTAGCAATGTTCGGTGCAAGGGAAGGGGTAGAAATAACGTTCTATTGAATGTGTTGATCTTTATTTCTTTTTCCTCTGCGGACATTTTTTTTTTTATATTCCGCGTTCACCAATCCCTCCCCCTCACGCACATTTCAATGTTTTAAGATATTGAGTTGAAGCGCTGCATAGACGGACATGTGTGTGTGTGGGTGTGTGTGTGACGGCGTGAGGCAATTTCAAAGGCCAGAGGTGGTCTTAGCAGGAAACCGAACGAATGACAAAATATGTTCGTTCTCGTGTTCTTTTTTTTTTTTTTTGTCACCCCAATCACCGATGATGAACTTCTTTTTACGTGCGTTTTCGTTGTGACCAACGCGTTAAACATTTTCGGAAAATCGTTCGATTCAATCAAGTAATAGTCGGTGTGGTTCGAAGATGGAATAACACGTCGGGAGATATGAGTATGTACGACGGCAGTTCTAACCAATCAATACTTTTTGTGCGCGCTGTTCGGTTAGGTTATCTTTTGTAACCGAATAAAAATGCTGGGTTTAAAACCCTAAACCCGGGGGAGGTTGATCTTCAACGACATCAATCGTTACGACGTCAAAAACGTTATGAAAGGGGATGAGTGAAAGTAGGAGCGAATAAAAGTTTTTGAAAGACGTGACTTACGCTGAGGTATTTTAAATTGACAAAATCCACATGTCCGTGCGATCCGATAGTATTTTGTTATTAATAATTTTAAAGAAGTTACCTAATTCGCGTGAAGTCTGTGATTTATTTACGAAATTGAATCAAGGTCTAGAGGTAAGAAAAAAGAAACAAAACTTTAAAAAATACTTTATCGTTGCAAAATGCGTGTTAAATCCTGTCACGAACCACAGAATTAAATTAATATACAATTGAGACTTAAAACACGTTTAGGAATAAGCACATTTCACAAGCATACAACTGTTTGGATTAAATCGCGTTCAAAGTTCGTAACTTCATATAACTGAGTTGAAGTACTCATCACCTTTATTTAATGCGGTTTTAAGTGAGGTGTGAGATGTTCAAAGGAAATAAGCGAACATTTATATTTCTAACCAGACTGGAAAAGTGTGGTTTGTTTTATGTACGCCTATATTTATACTTAAGTATATTCAGACTGTTAATTAGCCAGAGATTTTCAAATTCATTATGATATAATGCAGTCAAAAACTCATATGGATACGGCTTTTGTTGTTGTGTATGGCCAGTGACGCATAATACTATTATAGTAAAAAAAAACTGAATTTTGTTTTTTAATAAAAAAAATTTTAAGTTAAAACGTCAACATCACCGGTTTTTTTATGGCTTTGTGAATCCATTTTCTAGAGGCAACTGAACTTTTTCCCCAGTATATCTGACAACCACAGCCGTCATGAAAGCATTTTTTTTTTGTTCAAAATATATAAAAGATACACTGTCACTGTGAATGCATTTAAATATAATACGCATACCTACCTATTATCATTGTAGTATTTTTATCATTAGTTTTAATTATGTTTGTTATTCTTCACTGGGACTAAATTTAGAGCACACAATTATTAGCTTATAATGCGATACCTACAGAACAATATTTAAATAATGATTTTATGATATTACTTCATATTATAATGATCGTATATATTTGTTTTTTTATATTTACGGACGAAATTGATGTATATATATAATATTGTATACCTACCCATTTAAAATAAAATAACGAAGTCTTAAAGTAATAAGCCGTGTTCTATCAAATTCCTCCATTTAATTTTTAATTGCATACATTTTAAGGAGGAAATGCATGTTACGCCAAAATATGTATATTATAATAAATTAACAATTAAAAGCGAATTTCGAAGGATTATTTGTCGTTATCGCTGTTTGCGCTAAGTCGCCATGATTTATGCTCTCCGTTGAACCGACGGAATAGTATTCGAATCAGATTTCTCGAGATAAGAATACGTGTCTACCTCAAAACCGATTCACATTAGTATGCGAAGGCATATTTATTTTTATTTTTTTACACGGACTTGCCATAAAACAAAATAAAGTCGATTTGACACATTCCAATAAGTACACATTTTCCTTAGGTTACGCAATTCGACTTGCGTTTCGATTGGACTACAAAAAAAAAAAAATTAATACGCTTGTAGAGTAGGTAAATATAAATTGAGATAAATTTACGGAACGTCTACAGGTGCTCTCGGTTCCTAATGAGCTCTGGAAACACAAAAGCCTCTGCGCGTCTACGTGGTGGGGGTGCGGTTGTTTATCGAGGGTACTCCGGTAAGACATAAATCTTTATTTACGACCAACTCTCCTACCCAGAAGCACTACCACAGACTTTGGATCCACCTCGGTTATTCATAACCCCTTTTGCGTGTCTCCGCGTTAAAAATAAAAATAAATAAACCAAGCCTATTTTCATTTAGTGAAATTACAATTTAATACAAGAGATACTGAAAATTCGCCCAACTATGCCAACTGCGGAACGCAATAAAGGCTGTGCACGAACTGGAAAAATGCTCACTTGTACATCCGGTCCGATTTAATCCCCCCAGACTTCTTGGATGCCATTACGCTTCAAAGGTCGCACAATTTTCTTATATGTACGAATAGGACTTTGGGACCGTTATATATTGATAATATTTCATATTTATTCTTTTGAACAATCGCCCGTTAAGAGTCGTTGACAAACAAAACAAAACTAATATTAAAAATAAAATGCAGTTCAGGAATTCACACGCAAATATGAATTTTTAAGTGTGAAAGCGATTTATATATTCTTTACATCAGTATTAATACATAAGAATATCCATATTGCGTAGGGAATAAAAAAAAATTGAGGAAGTTGCTCTGCTATAAATATGAATATATATATATATATGATGTTTAGAGTGTATCTACCTCGTATTGAGTAGGTCACTGTAATGGATGTGTTAAATTTAAATTCAATGATCAATCATTGTATATATGAAAAAAGATCCTGAGTGGAGACGGTTTGTCGGACTGTATTTCTAAGGATATAATAATATAACTAATTTATATAACTGTCAGTAGTTTATTTTTTCATTAGTAATACAGTATGTAAAAACTAATTCATGCGTCAAAAACACGGGACAATATATTAAATTATAATATTAAATATTATTGTTATTTAATTATAAGTCACACCTATATATATAATTTAAGGGTATGGTGTTTACCTTTACACTGCAAAGTGAATAATGGGACCTGAGTATAAATAGCTATTAAAATTAGTTTAAATTAACTAAAAATTGCATTGTGTACATAGAAAATAATAATATTACACGTAT